GCCTTGTACCTGCTCCCTTTTTCCTGATTCCAGTCCTGGTCCTCCCCCCTTCCCCTTCCTTGTATCTCCAGTATTCTCTGTGATCTGATTCCTCATTTTGTATATATTGTAATATAGTTAGGTTGTTAGGTAATTTGTCACTCGGTTTACTGTTTGCTGGTGTTTTGATGGATTTTGGTTCCACCATAAATAAATCTTTCTTAAAGAGTAACTCCACTTTTGTTGAGAAAAACACATTCCCCTCTGGGCGATCTTTGTACACTGCAAGGATTTTAAAAAACTTTGCTGCAGATTCCTACCTTTTTGTTATTCTGAATAAAGTGTCAATGTGGAAAGTGAATCTAATGGAAGAGATTTTATAAGAATGGGAGTGACTGTATAATTATCAATCAGCATTTGCACTTGCAGGGCTCTAATGAGGAAAATTGCAAGGTTTGCTTCATTTTAGACATGATTTCCTATTGGGGGTTGCCAGAAATCTGACTTGTGGGAAAATCAGTGATCCAATCAAACAAGACGGAAATGATGTTGCTGAGGGGGAGTGTTTTACAAAGTCTGAGTACAGAACACCTCCAGGTAGTCACATTGCATTGCATTTTACAGATAATTACAGTGGCTAATGAATTCAAATAAATGCTGTAGTTTATAAATGGAGTAGTAGCTGTGATCAAACAACTTGTGAAACAACAACAAAGAAAATTTCCAGCTCAATTTACCAACCAGCCTGCAACCAACCAAATTGTCCTAACAGTTCATGTTAAAAACAGGGGTGATGTGAACTGCTAGGCTTGGTTCACATATATGCATTTTGAGTTTGATGCGTTCCCCCATGCTTTTTGCAGTTTGTTTTGCATTTTTCTACACTCGTTTTTGATGTGTTTTGTACCACGTTTTGCATTTTGTTCAGCTTTTTTTTTTTTGTTAAAGTGGAATTGTTTTTGTTACTGAGCAGAATAAAAATGCAAACCATGGACAAAAACTTGCCAAAAATGTACTACCATGCATTTCAGCAGCTTCTCCATTGAACTCTATTGTAGCAAAAATACTTTGCTTTTATAAAAGTCTCTGATCCTTTCCAAAAAGGCAGCAGCCCAAAAAAGCATAGATGTGAACATGTTCCATAGGAAACCATGTTAAATGGAACGCATTAGTATGAGCGGAGCCTTAGGCAGGACCATTCAGTCGGTTGTAGGCTGGTTGGTAAGTTGAGCTGGAAATTTTTCTTTTCTGTTGTTTGACTTGTGTCACCTTTCTATGTGCCCATTGCTGAAAGGCCAGTTATAGACTGGAGCCGTTGCTGTTTGTTTGTGCTATAAGGACTGGCTACAAGAGTCCTAGAAAAATAAAGATGCCTGTAAACTTCCATGTAAAAACCTTCATTGTAAAGGACCTATAGATTAAAATGATAATAAAGGACATGTTTTTATCTATTTAAAATTCTGCCAATTACCTTACACTGTATACTGCTCCTTGATGTCATTAAGTTTTTCCTTCTTTTTTTTTTTTTTATTCTTTGTTTATTCAGTTCTTTATAACATCACTTGACAAAGTATAAGTGAAGATATCAGAAGTGTAGAAAATATGTTACACACTTCTTGTATAAGTTGAGTACAACAATCTTAAGAACAAAGATAAACAAATATTGAAAAAACATGTAAAAGGTACCTGCAGGCACCGCCATCTAAATTTGAAAGAGAGAATTTGTTTGAAAGTCAAATGTGCTGTTGTCACCAAAACCAGCACCTTCCACTCAAGGTTTTACCTTCTATATGAATCAGATGGCCCCATGAGTGCTAGCTATGATATCTGCATTTAGATTGGGTCCTTTCCCTTGCAGGATTCTGTGGAGCCGGACTTGCGTTAATGCTCCTAGTTAACTGTGTGCCATTGTGCTGTGTGCGTCCATACCAACACACAAGCTGATGGCAAGCCACTGCCCTTTTCCCTTCTCAGAGCTAGTTAAGGGACAAAGGCTGGTGCCCATGATGTCCCTCATGATACATAATAAGAGTGTTCCCAATGAAAGGATCAATTCCTGTCCGTAGCCCAAACTGTCCTCGATTATTTTCCCCACCTGGGAGAAACAAAGCTCCAGACACTGAAGTGTGCAAGTTAAATCTCTGAAAGTTTAATGCAAAACATGAACTGTTATACAGAACTCAGTGGGTGTTGCTTAATTTTCGGATGACCAATGAAACATTCCACTCTTATCAGTATAGTTTAGTGAAGAACAGAAACTGCAAATAGCTGAGGGATACCATATAAGGTAGTTCTGTTTACTGAGAATAGAAACTATTCTCATGAAATGAGAGAGAAGTTCCAAGTGAAACTCAAAATCAAAACTACCTGTTCACACATCTAGAAATGGAGGCACTATACAAAATGGATGCCAGTTAATAAGACGTATTTCCTTACACCCAAATATGAAGTTTGGGGAAGCTGCACAGAGGGACCTGGACTCCATAGAGGTACATAGCAAATAAATTAAGTATTTAAATCTCTAAGAACTCCAATTTGGTGCTCCTATTATTCCCTATAGAGCTGGTAATTACGCAGGCACCATTTGAATCTGAAGGCTGATTTTTGGATATATAGCAGATAAGGAAGGGGGGAAATGGGAACCAGTAGAGGTTTTTTTTTTTTCTATACAAAAGTGCACCCATACTGTAAAATGTATCTAAACCCAAAAAACAAATAAACTAATGCAGGCCATAGCTGGGTCGAAAATCGGCTGATTTTTCGGCCGGAAAAAAAAAAAAAAAAAATCGGCCGATTTTCGGATCGTTAGTGGGTTAATAGGTCGGCCATTTTTTGGGATTTTGGCACTTTTTTTTTTATCCGTAAAGTTGGAAAAAAACTGCCGATTTTGCCGATCGGAACATCCGATTTTCGCTGCAATGATGGTCAAATCAGCTGATCTTTTTACCGATAAAAAATTGCGCATGTGCCGTGACCTGCAAGAAGAAGAAATAGAAGAAGAAGAAATAGAAGAAGAGGAAATATAGAAGAAGCAGAAGAAGAGAAATAGAAGAAGAAATAGAAGTAGAAGAAATAGAAGAAGTAATAGAAGAAGAAGAAATAGAAGAAGAAGAAATAGGAAATAGGAGGAGAAGCAGAAGAATTCCAGTCCGCTATTATATTTGACATGAAAAAGTATTGCGGTTGTAACAATGTATCTATTTGTATCCTAATAAAAACATCTGTATCCGAAATGGATATAAATAGATACATTGTTGCAACCGAAATACTTTTTCATGTCAAATATAATAGCGGATCTCTCTGCAGGGACAGAAGTAATTAAATGCCGGCCGTAGACAGGATGAAAATCGGCCAATTTTTTTTTTTTTCGGTTGGTGGTAACGTCGGCCTATTGAACGACCGATGTTTCGATTTTTTGTTAAAAAAACAGCCGGTTTTCGACCCATCTATGGCCTGCATTAGTCTTTAAACCTCTAAAAACTCTAATTTGGTGCTCCTATTATTCCCTATAGAGCTGGTAATTACGCATGCACCATCTGAATCTGATGGCTGATTTTTTGGGTATTTAGTAGATAAGGGAGGGGGAAAATGGGAACCAGTAGAGGTTTTTTGTTTTTTTTTTTAATACAAAGGTGCACCCATACTGAAAAATGTATCTAAACCCTAAAACAAAAATTTTAAATTTTGCAGGCTACTATTTCTTAGAGGAGCTGGCTGTATTTGTTTTCTTTTTTTTCAAGCTATTTTCCTCTTATTTTCAACTTTTAATACTGTGAATAGCACACTTCCTGTCTCTCCATGTCTACACTATCGGCAAAGAAAGCCTTGATTGTCACACAGAACTTCAAACTTCATGAACTTCGTGTCTGTCTTTGTTCATCTCCATTACATGGTGGATTTACGGAACTAGTCCCATACAGAAGAGAGATTAAATATGCTGACTTTTTAGCTCATTTGGAGATGTGCATTACGAACAAATTTGTTTCATTTCATCTCAGATTCATTTGTTAAGGCAATAATTTAGTTCCCTCATATTCGTTATGTTAGAATGATTTGTTTTTGGAATTTGTTTAATATTTCATTTTCATATTCATATTTTCGGAAGTTATTTTGGAAGATTCTAATTCATTTTGTTTTGTCCTTATGTTTTTTCCACCAATTACTTGCAACTTTGATATGGCTTGCTTATGACTTACTTGTGTTTTCTATACGACTTGCTTGCAACTTGGACTTTAATGTGACTTGCTTGCGATTTTCGATGCAACTTGCTTATGACTGATGTTTTGCTTGACTTTGGCCAATCAAAACATTACAGAATGTGACACATATTATTAAACTTTCAAAACCCTCCAAAGTCGCAAACAAATGAAAAGAATGAATACAAACTGAATTTGTTTTTGGAATAATGTATTAGATCTGTTGAAATTGGTTACTATTATGATTCAGAGATTAATAAGAGAGAATAACGGAAACTTTTGGGGATTTTGATTCATAACGAAACAAATCAGTCTAATGGCATTTCTGTTATTTTCTGTACTTGCTAATAACGTTCTTAGCCTGAGGAAAGAAGAATGCAGCCATCACATACCACTTACCCTCTAGAGGATTTACCCCCCTTCCTGACCAGGCCATTTTTTGCGATGCGGCGCTGCGTTACTTTAACTGACAATTGCATGGTCGTGCAACTCTGCACCCAAATTAAATTTATGTCCTTTTTTTCCCACAAATGGAGCTTTCTTTCGGTGATATTTGATCACCTCTGCGTTTGTAATTTTTTGCACTATAAACAAAAAAATACCGACAATTTTGGAAAATAACCCAATAATTTTGACTTTTTGCTATAAAACATCCAGTAAAAAATTTTTAAAAAAACAAATTTCAGCACAAATTTAGGCCAAAATGTATTCCGCTACATGTCTTTGCTAAAAACAATCCCAATACGTGTAAATTAATTGGTTTAGAAATGGCAGTGTATATATACTGGAATTTTTTTTTGTTTATATACTAGTACTGGCTGAGATCAGCGACTTATAGCGAGACTGCCGGACTGTGGCAGGCATTCTGACGTGGAGGGGGAACTGACCAACTGCCACTGTCATCCCCAGTGACACTAACATAGTGATCAGTGCTAATAAAAAGCACTGACACTGTACTAATGACACTGGGCAGGAAGGGGTTAACATCTGGGGCAATCAAAGGGTTAACTGTTTGCTGTGTTGTGTTTTACTATGTGTGCTGTGTGTGCTTTACCATGTAAGCATGCTGCTTTGTATCGCTCTGCTATGCAGAGCGATACAAAGCAGCATGCTGGTGCTGACAGGGGAGAGGTCTGTATTGTTTATATACAGACGTCTCCCCAGTCAGTGTTCTTTGGCAATCACCAGGTGCCGGCGGGGATTCTCCGGGCGGGACCCAGTGATCGACAGCTATAGCCGTCAATGGTGACGCGGGTAGGGTATATATATATACATGATTTTGCGCAGCTCTGCTGCCCTGTAGCAGTACTTCTGCTATAGGGCGGAGGGGAAGTGGTTAAGGGCTGGTATGCTGCAATAAATTACATTTTTGTTATGGGCACTTTAACTTTAAAATAATACAAATACAGCATATTATATTATAGAGTAGATACAGTATATGTATACACTTTAAAATGAAATTGCTTTGCCTTGGATAAGAGAAGGGTGCCTTCACTTTACTCTTGGATCACAATAGCAATATAGGAACAAATAATGGATGTAGTCCAACATAATGCTGTCTTCTTCTCTCTCTCCCAGGTTCAGATGGGATCTTCCAGGCGTCTGTGAAAAACAGGGAAAGTGCTGACAATTCAGTAATATTACATAGTCTGACTATATCAGGTAAAATCTACATTTATGCTAAATGCTGTATAAAGGTCGGGAGTTAGTCCCAAAATTAGTATTCTGTTTCCTCAATATAGTTCTGAGGTATCAGTAAAATGTTTGTTTGGTTTCCATTGGTGTGTTCGTTTTTTATGCTGGCATTCTGATGCAAGATACGAGGCTTTTGTAGCTGACAGCAAAAAGGAATGTCACAATAAACACCCATGACTCTCAGGCATAACCTATCCCTATCACTTCTGTCCCTCTTCGTCATAAAACTTACCCTATTCCCTAACACTGAACACTAAACAGTATCCATTTATTTGTCCATTTCGGAACCCCCCACCTCCCTGTTGCTTCAGTCCACTCCTCCTTCCCATAAGTGTTTAAGACTGTTGACTGGCCCACCTTGCTCGAGCATTGGTCACATGCTCTTTCATACCTGAAAGTCCTGGGTATTTCTCAGGCTAGCCATACATTATACAACTTTCTTGTACAATTGCCCTTTAGATTTACCAAAATCTGGCAGTACTGGGCAGCACAGTGGCTAAATGGTTAGCACTTCCGCCTGGCAGTACTAGGGTCGTTGGTTCGAATCCCAACCACGGCACCACCTGCCTGCGTGTTCTCCCTGTGCCTGCGTGGGTTTCCTCCGTGTACTCTGGTTTCCTCCCACACTCCAAAGACATGCTGGAAGGTTAATTGGCTCCTGTCTAAATTGTCCCTAGTATGTGTATGTATGAATGTGAGTTGGGGACCTTAGATTGTATGCCCCTTGAGGGTTAGGGACAGATGTGAATGTACAACATATATATATATGTAAAGTGCTGCGTAAATTGATGGCGCTATATAAGTACCTGTAATAAATAAATAAACCATATAATATGAGGTCAAACTTAAACACTTTCAATTTATATGCAATCAGGCTGGCCCTTGCACTACATATTTGAGCCTTAGTGCTCCCACAGAGGAGTGGGGCACCATGAAAGTGCTGAATCGGTGTGCATCGGTGGTGGTGGTGCTTTTGGTGGGCAGGGGCATATCTACCACAAGGCAAACAAGGCACTTGCCTAGGGTGGCATTTTTCAGGGGGGCAGCACCTCCCCCCAGAGGAAGGGATGAAAAAAAGGACACGCACATCGTGGTAAACAGGTGGGATCCAAGACAGGCTGCGGGCTGCTTGATGGTGTATGTAGAGCCTGGCTCTCATTCCCGGGGATGTCTGGAGCTGTGAAGATGAGTGTCTCTCTATCTCTATGTAGTGAAAGGCCCTCCCGGGTGGGGGGCAGGGGTGTTGTTGGACAGTCTCAGGCTCTCTCCACAGGATGGGGAAGGGGGGGTTGTGTTGGTGTCCGTGGGGACAGACGATTTTTGTGTTGCCTAGGGCAAAGATCTCTTTAGAGGAATCGGGACCTCCTTCCTCCTGTTGGTGATCCCACTAGTGTAACTTAAGATCTATATAAAGTAATAAGGACCTCCTTTTATCCTGCGGAAGATTCTTTTAGTGATGTCTAAAGATCTATATAGAGGAATCAGGACCTCCTTCCTCCTGCTGGTGACCCCTCTAGTGACAACTAAAGTTCTATATAAAGCAATCAGGACCTCCTTCCTCCTGCTGGTGACCCCTCTAGTGACAACTAAAGATCTATAAAGAGTAATCAGGACCTCCTTCATCCTGCTAATGAATCTTTTAGTGATATGTAAAGATCTATATAGGGGAATCAGGACCTCCTTTCTCCTGCTGGTGATCCTTCTAGTGATACACCCCAAATTTCCTATTTTCTTTAACCTTTTGTCTTATCTTCTAAATTAGCACCCCCAAATCCTTTTTTTTTTATTTCATCTTTGTATGATTCTGCAGTTATAGACATTGAATTTTAGTTTCCACTGCTTTGGCCTGTCTTGAATTTCTATATCACATTCTTTTTTTCACAAACACCTGCAGAAATATCAGCCCTATTTCTAAACCCTTCCTTTGTGTTTTCAGCAAAGTAACATACCTTAGTCACCAGACCTTGTGGTATATCATTTACAAACAGATTAAGCCGCACAGGACCTTGTACACAGCCTATAGGGTACACCACTAGTGTCTAATCTCTGTTCAGCAATAACCCAATTCACAACCACACTTTTATGTCTATCCATTAGCCAACTATGTACCCACTTAACCACCCAAGGGTTAGGTCCTATTTTGTACGATTTTTTAAATGAGATCATTATGCATCTATGTAGCCATTAATCCAGAGGCATAACTAGAACCTTCATGGCCCTGGTGTAAGAAACCATAAAGAGCCCCCTGACCCCAGTCAGGGCCCCCCTCCACGGTGGCAGAACGCCAGGGCCGGGTCGCAAGCACAACCTTTGCGACCCTGTCAGTTCCACCACTGCAGCCTCAGGAGCACAGAATGAATGGACAGGAATAGCTCTGTACAGAGCTTCCCGTTCATTCATAAATGGAAGCATAGTAAACACAGTTTACTATGCCTCAGTTATGAATGAAAACAGTCAGTGAACCATGGATACTGACTCTATTCATTCAGACAGGGAAGGGGCAGTAAATTACACATTTACCTGCCTCTACTCCGCTCTCCATCCTGAAAGAAAGGTGGGCCAGTGGAGTACACAGAGGCTGATAGGAGAGGCAGTGGAGTGGCAAGTAGAGGAACCCCTTTCAGCGGCTACAGAAGGAAAAACGGAGGGGATCAGTTCCTCTATATGCCGCTCCTCCTATTCAGGTGTACAGGGGGAAGCACAGGCCCCCTGGCATATGGGGCCGGGTCACAATTGCATCCCCTGTACATACACCCCTGCATTACACATATTTTGTTATGCTTTAAATTTTGAGTCTCTGAATTTGACGTGACATCAGCCTCTTGGATTCCCCTGCACAGCAATGCTCAGACTAGGCCAGGGAAAAGCAGTGCAAAGAGCCAGTCAATTGTACTGCAATGTTCATGTGCAACAAAGAACATGCTGATAGAAGGGGAGGCCAGAGAGATGAGCTAATCAGTTTGCTGCGTTTCCTTGTACTGTCCAGTCACAGGTTGGGGGAGTGATAATAAGACCCGTAGTGGTCACAAGCTGCAGTAGAAAAAGTATGGTCTTCTGCCTTCCTATAGAGGGGTAAGCTGTGTGGCAGAGCTGTGAAAATCTTGGTCATGGATGGACAGAAATACCAACTCTTTGGAAGGGAAAACAGCTCCCTTATGTACAGTATATTTCACCTATGTATTTAGCTGTTTACCTGGAGTTCAGCTTTATCAGATGCTAAAAATGGCAAACATTAGCTGCTGGTTCCATCGATAGTCAAATATATGACTGTACGAACTTCCATAGAGTGGTTGGCTTTGTGCCATTCTGCTGTTTCAGCTACATTTCTGCTTCCAAATCATAATGTTTGTTTGATGGCTGTGTAAGCAGTCTCTGTTTATCTCTCTCCAGGCCTAGCATCCAAGGACACAGAAAAAAAAAAAATCATTGTGGACAGCCTTGTGCATCTTAAACTAGAATGTATTCTGAAGGCTGGCTTCATGCAGATTTCCAATCTAACATGGAAACATGGAGAAGAAGAAATCAGCAGAGACCGTTATTCAGACAATAATACAGCTGGTGAATGGCGCACCACACTGGAGTGAGTATTGTGAATGTGTCCTTCAGCCTGGACAGTCAATATGAACATGCTGACATTGGACAAAGTGTCTCCGTGTATTTAGATTATGTTTGGGCTCAATCCGTCCATCTGAATCTGCAAACTTTATTCTAACGCAACAGGCGCAATACTCAGGAGTGGTACTGTGTACAGAGAGGTCGGCGCTAATTTGGAGTTGGCCTCCAGACAAACGTTTAGCCTTTAATTAGGTTATCATGTGATCAGAGTTGGATTTATATGTCAGGAGTCTGTTGTTGCAGTTACTCTGGCACCTTATATTCAGCTCATGCTTTAAAGTAGAGCACAGGTTAAAAAAATAAGAACAAAAAACGCCCCTGCATGTTAGTCTATGTGTCCATGCACACATAGGCATTTGAAGGTTGGGGCATTTAGTGGCAGAAAAAAATCCACAGCCAGTGCATCCAGGAGCAGCAAAGTTTTGGCAGAAAAGACACTTGACATGCCTAAATGTGCCTAAGAGCTAGTCGCGTTTAGCTCTTGAGTATTAATTAATTTAAATGACTAGAATAAATTATTATTCTGGCCAAGGAAATTAATTAACGCTCAAACACTTGATGTGCCTAAACACGTTACATGAGTTTGCAAGCATCAAGCGTTTTTTCTGCCAAGACTCTGCAGCCAGGAAGAAATGAGTCTAGGAGAGTTGGCAGAATGTCCTGTAAGCATGAGGCCTAAAAATGCAGCTTTTATCTCACCTTTAATCTGGAGTTGCCATTAGGTGTCGCCAGGGGTGGACTGACAGCTCATGGGGCCCCCGGGCAATAGGGAATCATGGGACCCCTGTGTCCTTGCCCAAACTCAAAAAAGCCTATGAAAAAGGTACCAGGGGCATCTCATGGGGCCCCCTACTGACCCCGGGCCCTCGGGCACTGCCCGAGTTTCCAAATGGTCAGTCCGCCCCTAGCTGTCGCCAGTCTTCTGGGTTAATTGACGTCCACCGTCATTCCTTCCACATCTTTTAATCTCACAAGCTGTCATTAACCCATCTGCTGGAAGGAAGTCATCAGGCTCAGAATACTACTGGATAGTGTTGGGCTTCATGTTCGAATCAAACATAAGTCCGACTCGAACATGGGCTGTTCATGTGTTCAGTGAACAAATGAACAGTAAGGGCATTCAGCAGGCTGTTTGCCCCTCCATGCCCCACAGTGCACTGTGCCCTGACGGTTCATTGTGATTGGCCAAAGCAATGCTTTAGTCAATCACAGGACATGATGACGTCACAAGTCACTACACTATTTAGGAGCTGTGATGTGAGAAGGTGGAAGTGCTTACACACCTGTATTCATTTGAGGTCCGTTTACATCCAACCGCCCCATAGGGAACAGTGGCCTGCTCAGCGTGGATCAGCGGACAGATCCCTCATTAACCAGGCAGACCTGTTTGAAGGGTCCACCTGTGTGAAAGGGGCATAAGGCCTCTTTCACATTGATATAATTATGAACCAGTGAGCAATTAAATCCTACTTTCAAATTAAAAAATCAAATAATGAAAAGCTACCTACACATACTCATACAAATGTGCTAAATAACAAAATATATGCAATAACAGTGCCACGCTTTTCTCAAATTCAAATAGTGACATATAAATTAATCCCAATGTGAACTGGATAGTGAAAAAATTATATATAGTCATACCATCACTATATGTCCACCTAAAGGATGCAAGCCATTTTTGACCAATCTTAGTTGTGAGCTCAAAAATTTCAGGAGAGAGAGCAGTTGGTGTAACTGGTGGTGGAAGTGCACTATATATGAAAAAAGAAGATTTTTGATGGCATAAGTTTTTTTTTTATTTGGAAGGACTATGCATTAGAGATGGACTGCATTAGTTCATAGTAATTCTGCATATTGTTTGCAACATTTTTTCACTATCCAGTTCACATTGGGATTCATTTTTATGTCATTCTTTCACATGGGTGTCATCCTTTCAGTCACAATTTTTCATTAAAAAAATGGATTTGGTTTATATCACTTTTTACATCAGTTTTCAGTTCAGTTTATGTCAGTTTACTTCAGTTTACATCCATTTTTGGATCCATTTTTACTTAGTTGTTGCAGAAACCAATCAGAGGTGGCAAAAATATAAACAAACAATGTTTCTTGCCTAAAAATGGACATAAACGGAACGGATGCCACTGTTCCGATCTATTTACTTGTCCATTTAAAAAATGTGGATGGTAAGCGGATGATCATTAGTGATGGGCCAAACACCCCCCTGTTCGGTTCGCAATCGAAAATAAATTCAGTCCCTCTAATCTTTCCTCATAGCTGAGCTCCTCCATGCCTCTTATCAGTTTGAGCCCTCCTCTGTACTTTCCTCAATTCCCCATTATTCTTTCTGAGAATTGGGGCCCAAAACTGAACTGCGGGGGGGTGTGGCTTGCAGTCCGACGAAGGTGGCTGCACAATGAGGAGCTCCTGGATCCCGCTGGCTTCAATCGCCTCTCCCTGGTTCCCTGAGAGCCGCAGCATGGGGAAGCTTGCACGGCACACCCCACAACTTCGCTCTCACCACCCCGGTCTCCACTACCTCAGCCCCAGCGAGGGATATAATGGAGATCTTCCATTCACAATCCTCAGCCAGGAACTGCATGGCCTCCAGCAAGATAGCATTGGCCCTCCAGGATGAGGATTGCAGTGAGGACTCTCAGACGGCATCGGAGGATGGAGTGAGAGACTACTCATACAGCACAGCCATTAACCTACTCTGACATGACAGCCATATCGGCTGATATTAAAAACACACTTTCAGCTGCGATTACAGACTTGAAAGCAGACATTTTAGTCCTTACAGAGCAAATGACTGCAATGGAAAATGCAGGAAAAAGGAGAAATAAAGCCATTCAAAGATTGGATTGGATGTCACTGATTCCCACACTTAGATGAACAGACACTTAGAGGATCTTGACAACAGAGGCAGAAGAAACAATATTACAGTGAGGGGAATACCTGAGTCAGTACTACCAGATCAAATTTCTCTTGCACTTCAGAAAGTATTCAATAATACCCTTGAAAAACCAGCAGAATCTGCAATAGAGTTTGCGAGAGCACTGAGAGCTAAGGGCTCAGACTCAACCCCTCCTAGGGATATAATGTGCTGCCTTCAAAGCTTCCCCCTAAAAGAAGAGATACTACATAAAGCAAGACAAAATGTTATGATAACCTTTAATAGCGAATCCATCTCTTTATACCAGGATTTATCACCCATTACACCTAAAAATAGAAGAGCCCTCCGCCCTTTACTAGAAATAATTCGAGAGAAGGGCCTAATGTACAGATGGCTCTTCCCATTTGCCTTAAGCATAACACTTCAGGGAAAACAAATCCTGCTACGCAACCCTGATGAACTACCAGATTTGTATAACGCACTACAAATACAACAGCCCCAGCTGCCTGAATGGTACCAGGAATTTAGACTTCCTCCGCAAGTCCGTAGCCCTCAAAAATCACCCTTCTCTACCCCGGATAACCGTACCATCAAAAAGGGTCAAGTTGGGTGCCAAACCCAGGCTCAGTTGGACACTTCGTTATCCCGCAACAAAACTCCCAGAAGGAATATGCATATCCGAAAAGATAATTGTTAATAACTGAGATATTCACAGATACGTCAGTCTGAACTTGGTGTAACACTACACCTGAGACTTGCCAAACCCTACCGCAATGATCTGGATAGAAACCCTCAAACCTTACAACAAAATCCCATTAGGAATACATTCATGTGAGAAGTCGTTAAGGACATATGAGTCATCCTTGGACCCATATCTGGCTTTTAATGCGGTTGTCTGTGGGTGTCCAGTAACGGATGAGAGGAGGAATACCAAAGATAATAGCGGCACTTCGTCTTCTGCCACTGGTCAACATCTTAACAGACTCAATAAGTGCTTCTGATACACTACAGTCCTAGGTCCAATACCAATGCTTTTATTCAGGATGGTAGGGTCTCTGTTGTCTTAGGCCCGGGGGTCCCAATACTATACAACACTCAGGTTCAATAAGAACCAGGGCCTGTCCACTGAGACCCTGTTGTACTAAATGGTTTGTCTGTACTGCTTATTAGAAAGTTTAACCAATGTTGCGACATATCGAACTACATTTAGCCAGATTTTCTATGTTCATTTTTCTTTTTCTTTAGCAATTTGAAACTAAGTTAAATTTTGTTCTGGTTTGATATTCTAAATGCTCTACTAGGTAGCAGGGACCCGAGAGAACAAATAGCATTTACGGTTTGGATTTGATGTAGCCTAGATCCTTTTTGTCTCTGACATACATTATACTCAATTCCATTAAACTTACCTTTTCCTACCGCTCCTCCCACGACATCCCACAGGTAGTTCTGGCTCTTTTAAATCCCAAACTTGTTCATTTTAGCTTTTCACTACATTTTTGAACCTTTAAGGTACATAGATATCTAAGGGTATTATATCCCTTTTGACCTCCTAAACTTATCAACAGTTGATAAGTTAAATTTAAATTACAAACTCAAACTTAGAGAGTTTCTATTTCACTTAAATTCAATACACCTAACTGGGAGTTCCCCCCCTTGCTTGACAAGGATGGCCTATCAGCTTCTAGGAACAAAACCCACGGTGATCTCTCACAATGTACAGGGTCTAAACATATCTGAAAAAAGAATATCTCTTCTGAGACCACTTAAAAAGTCTAGTCTGTTATTTGTATTTCTACAAGAAACTCATTTTAAAAATTAAAAACGTCTGAGACTTACAGATACATTTTTCACCTCAGCCTACCATGCCCCTAGCCTAATTTCAAAATCAAAAGGAGTCTCCATTTTGGTGAGCAAAGAGGCTCACTTTACCTTGCAACAACTAGAAAACCCTGAAGGTCGATACTTGTTTTTAAAAGGCACCTACGCAGGCCAACCCCTAACCCTAGCAAACATTTATTTCCCTAACACGTCCCATATTACCTTTCGCAACAAAGTAATCCAAGAACTGAAAG